TCTTCAGCGGCACGGGCCTGCCGCCGCCCAGCACGGCGGCCTCACCGCCCTTGGCTATGGTGAAGATGATGATGACGACGGCGACGATGATGATGGTGATGGGTAACGATTACGATAACACAAAAATGGTGTTAATGATGGTGATGCTGATGGTGGCGATGGTGAGGATGATGGTGATGCTGAATATGATAATGTTGGTAATGATGGTGATGCTGGAAATCATGATAGGGCAATGATGATGATGGTGACGGCGGTGGTGATGTGATGATGATGGCGATGATGGTGACGACGACGATGATGATGATGATGGTGAGCGTGATGATGATCATGTTGATGAACATGATGATGATGGTTATGATGATGATGAGGAGGATGAGGACGAGGATGCTCGTAATGGGGATGATGACGGTGGTGACGAAGATGGCGATGATGCCTTTTGCATTTTGCCTTTGGCTCTCAGCTCCCGCCGCGGCGCACGGCCAACCAATCAGAATCATACGGAGCCCGGGTGAACTCCTCATGTTCGTAACCTGCCTTCTCGAGCTTCCTGCAGGGGCCGTATACCTCCCGCTCCAGCTCGCGCACCAGGCTGGTGAAATAGTTTCCCATGTCCTCGGTCTCCGTCCTGCAGGCCTCGACCCTGGCGGTCAGAGGCATCGGGATGAAGCCAGCCAGAAGGCCCTCCACAGCGTCCAAGCGGGACTCGAGCTCCGGCACCTCGACGATCTTCTCGAAGTACTCCACCTGCGGCGCCTCCTCGATCTTCTTGACCTCATGGGTCACGACCTTCGGCACGTGGACGATCTTTTCGGCGTCCTCTACCTGTGGCACCTCCACGATCTTCTCGATCTCTTCGGTCACGACCTTCGGCACCTCGACGATCTTCTCAACGTACTCTACCTGCGCCACCTCCACGGACTTCACGACCTCATGGGTCACGACCTTCGGCACGTGGACGATCGTCTCGAGGTACTCCGCCTGCGGCACCTCCACGATCTTCTCGAACTCTACGGTCACAGCCTTCGACGACTCGACAATCTTCGCGACGTCCTCTACCTGCGGCGCCTCCAAGACCTTGGACATCCCGACGATCTGCTCGACGTACTCTTCCTGCGGCGCCTCCACGACCTTCACGATATCGTGGGTCATGTCCTGTGGCGCGCAGACGATCTTCTTGACATACTCTACCTGCGGCGTGACCACGTCCTCGACCTCTTCGGGCACAGCCTTCGGCACCTCGACGATATTCTCGGCGTACTCTGCCTGCGGCACCTCCACGATATTCTCGGTACCCCTCTTCTGAATCTTCGGCACCTTCACGACCTTCTCCATCTTCTCGGCCACACCGATCGGCATCTCGACGATCTTCTCGGCGTACTCTATCTGTGGCGTCTCGATGATCCTCCCGACGTGCTCAACCTGCGGCATCTTCACAATCTTTTCGACCTCTTTCTTCACGACCGTCGGCACATGGACGCTCTTCTCGACGCACTGTATCGCGGCACCTCCGCGACCTTCTCGACCTCACGGGCCACCGCCCGCGGCACGTGGACGATCTTCTCGGCATATTTTACCTGCGGCGCCTCTGCGAACTTCACGACCTCGGAATCGAAGTTTGTCCTCGGCGTTGCCTGGCGTGTGATCCCTGACGATCTTGGCGAGCACGCCACTCACGCCGTCGATGTCGCTCGTGGCAGACGAGCTGTCCTCGTCGCAAGTGTCGGCTACGCCATCCATGCCATCCCTGCCCTCCACGCCGCAGTGGCCTGGAGCGAAACTGGGTACGAACTCCTTCGCATCGGCGCTGAGCTGGAAATGGTAATACTCCACCTGCGGCACGATCCTCCCCCTCTCCTGGGAGTAGCGCTCCAGCTCCTCCAGCTTGAAATGGAGGTGTCGCACGCGCTGTGCAACCAGCGGATCACCGCATTCTCGCCCTAGTTGTTACCCATGCCTCGACTGCGGAAGCGGTGGCGCACGCGGCTGGCCCACGGAGGCGAAGACGTGAACAGCGTCCAGCCGCCGCTTGAGCCAAAATGGATGGCGATGATGATGGTGATGATGATGGCAGTTATGCGGATCGCAACAACGATGAACATGATGATGATGACGATGGTAAGGGTTATGCTGATGATAGTGATATGATGATGCTGATAAAGGTTATGATGATGGCGACGACGATGATGCTGATGATGATGATGATGAACATGAGGATGGTGATGATGATTATGGTGATGGTGATGATGATGGCGATGATGTTACTGGTGATGGTGATAATGGTGGTAATGATGATGATGATGATGGCGATGATGATGATGATGACGATGATAATAACGGTGGTGGTTATGATAGAGATGCTGAAGATGATGATGATGATGATGATGATGATGATGATGATGATGATGATGATGATGATGATGATGATGGTGTTGATGATAGAGGTTGTGATGATGGTGATGATGGTGATGGTGGTGATGACGACGACGATAATGATGTTGATGATGATGAAGACGACGACGACGACGATAATGATGTTGATGATGATGGTGATGAACATGATGATGATGGTGATGATGATGGTGATGGCGATGATTATGAGGATTTGTTTCAAGGCACGGAGGGAAAGCCACCGCCGCGGCCAGGCGCCCGGGCCAGGCTGAACCCAGGTGGACGAGGCCGCGGTCTCTAGAACCGCCCAGCCACCAGTGACATCCAGACAGCGACGGCGCGCACACGGGGGTGAGGCACGGGGAGGGGGACTTTTCCTAGAGCCTAGGAGCTCCGTAGGCGCTGCCCACGGCCCTTAGAAGCGCTCTTAGGAGCTACGCACGAGCATAGGAAACGCTGCCTAAGAGCCGCTTGAGCGCTTGCCCACAAGCCCAAGAAGCGCTGCCTAGGACCCGCGCAGGAGCTCAGGAAGCGCTGTTGGAGACATGAATACGCAGCACACGCACTGGCTTCGATGCTCGCAATTTGTCACTCCAGAAGGGCCGTGTTTGAACAAGTGGGTCGGCTTTCTAAGAAGGCAGCGCAAAGGGCTCCTCAGGAGAGCTCGAAGGCTTCTGAGAGGGCTCCCTGGATGGCAGGGGCCTCTAACAGGCACCCCTGCCCTCTCGGAAAGCCGCTCCCTTTGCGCGCGCCTCCAGTAGAAGAAAAATAAGAAGAAACAAAAAAAAAAAAACACAAAAAACATGAAAATACACTTTCGAAGCTCCGCGCGGATTTCTTGGAGCGGCGCAGGACCCTCTCCCCTGGCGCGGAAGGAGCGCGCAAGGGGCAGCGCAGGAGAGGCGCCGCCAGGGGGGGTCCAGTGGAGATCCAAGAAATCTGCGCGGACATCCGAGAACTAAAATTTACGATGCGTGTTCTTTTTCAAACCAGTGCTCACAAACCTCCGACGTCGTAAGCAAATCATGACTGGTGCCTTCGACCCCATCTTGACACCAAACCGTTCGAGCAAGACCGATCCGTGAGGGCCCTTGGAGTGGCCAGAGACTGGACAGAGACTCCCGCCGCGAGATTCTTTCACGACGCTCAGAGATCTGGGCTGGCCCGCCCTCCTGCACTCCTGAATCCCACCCCGATGCTTTTTGTTCCTTCTGTCCACCGACCAGTACGAGGCGCAGGACCCGCCCGCGGCCCGCGCTCACGAGCGCGGCTTCTCCTTCTTCTCGCGGTACAGCGCGCCGAGGCCGCACCCGGCCACCTTGACGACCTTGAAGCGCACGCCGGGGATGTCTCCGACGGCGTGCCCGCGCCGGCCGAAGCCGGAGATCAGCACCTCGTCGTTCTCGTCGACGAAGTTGAGGCAGCCGTCCCGCGGCACGAAGGCGGCCACCTGAGGAGCCGAGCTGCCTGCCCCGAGGCGCCACGCGCAACACGCAGCGTGCCGACGCGGAGCTCAGCACGCAGGCTGGAGACGTGCATCTGGCGCGGTGCTTTCGCCAAGACCAGGGCCAAGAATCACGTTGAGCCGGCACGCAACGTGCGGACACGGACGTCTTGAACACGGGGCGTGTCGCGTTTCAAAACGGGCGTACCAGGGCAACGAAGCTCGGAAGGCGAAGCAAGGGCATCCACATACCAAGGGGCCTGGAAGCACTCAAGGCTGGATTCGCGTGTGGAGCATCGGGAGGCCACGCGATGGACACGCGTGCAGAAGCCCAGCCTGCGCGTCCACAGAAGGGCCGAGCGCTGTAAAGACGTCTGGCCACATGACATGTGTATCCCGCCCTGGCCAACGCTGGCCGCGTCAGGTTTATCCAGCCTCCTGGTAGACTTTCGGAGCTCCCGGCGGATTTCTCGGACAGGTGCGGGGACCTTCCTGGCGGCGCCTCCGGCGCTGCCCCTGGCGCGCTTCGAGCGCTAGGGAGGGGGGGGTCCAGCACCGATACGAGAAATCCACCCGGACCTCCGACGAAATATGTGTGTGCTTGTTTCTTCTTCGGCACCTTCTTGCCATTCTTGATGAGCTGCACCCGGCAGCACTTGCGGATGGCGGAGTTCGGCTGCTTCGCCTCGATACCGATCTTCTCGACCACGATGCCCTTGGCGTGGGAGGTGCCGCCGAAGGGGTTGCACTTGTACTTCGTGCCGAGGTTGGCCTTCTTGTAGTCCTTGTCTGCCCACAGCTGCGAGCGCCTGCAGGATCAGCCAGCATCGGATCGGGAAATCGGATCACATCGGAACGCGACGTGCATCGAATCGGCCTGCATGTGCGGAACGGAAATCAAATCGGCCGCGCTAGGATGCACAACAGCACCGTGCAAGTATCGGGCCGCGTCGGATCGCCCAAGTATCGGGAGCGAACCGGATCGGGCCAGCCGAAGCGGATATCGAAGCGGACGGGTCGGATCGAACTGGGCCCCGGCCTGCGGATGACGAGCTTGCGCGCGCACTTGATCCCGCGGGGCTTGCTTCCGCCCATGGCTGCCTAGGCTCCTCGGTGCGCGGTGCGGCGGAGCAGGAGGGGGTGCGCGGCACAGAGGGCGGTGCCTGCGGGGCGTCCTGGACCAACGTGGCAATACGGAGAGGGGGGGGGGGAGCAGCGAGGGGGGGGAGCGGCGACGACGAGGAGGGAAGGAGACAGGAGAGAGGGGGGGGGGGGGGCAAAGAGAAAGGAGGAGGCGGGGTGGTGCAGGAGCGGGGGGGCAGGAGGGGGAAAGGGAGAGGCGGCATGATGATGAGGGGCCTTACAGCCCCCATCATTTGCCGCGTCATGCTACCACGAGGCCAGAAGGACACATGGCTGGATCCACACGTGGAACATGTGCGTCAGGTGGATCATGCCTATCGAGCCTCCTGGCACCACGCTTTTCCTCACTCCGCTCTTACGGGCGGTCCCCCTCTCCCCGCGGGACGGCCTTGATGCGTTCGGCCATTCCATACCCACTGCAGAGGCTGGCGCGGCGGCAGCCCTGGAACACCTTGAGCAGAAAACGCGGCACGATGCGAGTGCACAGCGGCAGCGCCTGGCGCAATAGTCATCGCCCAAAGAAATACGCCTCGGATGGCAAGCGGGCATCTGTGGAGGGTCCCACGTGCCGCGGGGCACGGCAAGCCAAGCGGCTCGACAGCCCTGCCTCGAAACCGCTGCCGTGTACGCCACGCGCGGGGGCGGACCGATTCGAAGGCCACGCGGAGCTGTCCGCTGCCCGGCTGAGCAGGGAGGCCATAGCCAGACCGAGGGGGGCGGGACGATCTGGACTTGGCCAGGGCCTTTCCTCCGGGGAAATGCCCACCCAATCCTGACGAGCCCCTTTCCCTGTGCGTCTGGTCAGGTATTGGTCTGGTCATGGTTTCCTGCCCCCTAGCCGCTTGCAACACGGCCCAGCAGATAAGGGCAGAGATGAAGACCGCAGAGAACTGGCAGCCAGAAAACACCCGCCATGTATCCTCCTCTTCCCCGTCTGACCTCCCTTCCCTCTCCACACCCTCTTCACACCCTCTCTTCTCCCCCAGCTCTCCTGTCCACTCCTCCTGTCCTGCCCCCCGCCCGTCCCCCCATCACCACTCGTCCTTCTGACTTCTATCGCTTCTCCATTCCCCCTTGAAATACCACTTCCCCCCAACCAGACTCGTGTCCTGTTACCACTTCCCGAGCTTCCCTCCCACTTCGCTGTACTCAAAAATCTAGCACCGTCGTTGTCCTCTATATCCTCAGCTTCGTCACCTCCTCCTCCTCCTCCTCCTCTTCCTCCTCCTCCTCCTCCTCCTCCTCCTCCTCCTCCTCCTCCTCCTCCTCTTGCCTCTTGCCAGACCGCGGGACAGATTCCTCTAAAAGGGGCCCCAGGTGGCTCTCCACTCTCCCCCCCATCAGAAGAAGAGCTGCACGTCCGCCATGGTCCTAAACGCGACGTCCAGGAGGAGTGGCAAGAAATACAGACTTGAATCCGAAACTGCGTCGACTACAAGTCCACGACAGCTAACAAATCCAGACCTGAAGGGCGGACTCCTCTTGCAAGGCAGATTCATCAAAGAACTCTCTCTGTGCTCCACGTTCCACTAAAAACTGAAAGCACGTCTCTCGCAAACTGGCGGCAACACAACACGGAACAAGCCAAAGATGCCCCCCACCGCTGAAATATGGATTGAGTTGCGGGCGGGCTCTGCGAAGGAACAAGAGCGATTGCCCTACCAAGGGCAGCGAGCAGTGCAATGGGCGAGTCCGTCACGTCCTGACCATGCTGTCTTTCCTCGGCGGCTCCCGCGGGCAGCCCCCACCCGCGGAAAACGGGCTCGAACTGCACATGCACAGTCACAGCAGGCGGCTCCAGCCCACCTCCCCTGCATAGGCTCTAGAGGCAAGGCCCCGAAGTTGCACTGGGTTCAGATTTTAGCTCAGGATCGTCGGCCACCTGTTAGGCACCTTGCTTGCTACGCTTTGAAGTGGATGGTGCTGAGATTCAGGCACTCTTTGATGTCCAGCGACCTCGAAGACCAGGCTGAAGCTGATGTTTACCGACAGGTGTTGCTTGCTCCACCCAAGTTTCCTGCCGAATCTCTTGTTCTGCATGGGCTTCGGTACTCCCTTGTGGTTGCTGCTATACGTTCCCCGCATCAGCCTGACCAGCTCTCCGACCTGCGCGCCAACCTCAGCATCGCGTTGGCTGCTGCGGAAGCAAAAGCACAGCAAGATGGCTTGCAGGGTTGGAAGTCCTGGCTCCTGCATCGGGTGGAGGAAGGGGCCAAGCAGGCCCATAAGGCCATTCGCGGTTTTACCCCCTGGGCCTCTACCTCGACCCTCAACGATGTGGATAAAATCGTTGCGGACCCCCTAAGTCCGAGTATATCCGATTTAATACCTGCACGCTGTCATGGAGATAGGCAGCCCGGTGCCAGTGCAGGCCAGACTCACGATCCTCTCGTTATTGGCTAAAACATCAGAAAGTTATCGGCCCATTGAGCGCGTTTGCTCCATGCACAGGTTATGGGGATAGCGAGGAGGAGATGTGCGATCCAGCGGGAGGAGGAGCATGCCCGACCTTACGTTTCAGCCGCCAAGTTCTCGTCTAGCACTGACGTGGTTTGGCGTCAAGCTGCGCGCGCAGAAAATGAAGTTGCCAGAGGCCGAGTTGCTGCCAGTCTACTCTGGGATCTCTACAAATGTTTTCAAACGGTCAGCCCACTAGGCTCTTGGAACGTTGTCATACCTATCGGTTTCATCCCGCCAGTTCTGCCCTCGTGGTTGCCTTGTATCGGTCTGCCAGATTTGTCGTTCTAGGAGGCCTCGTCGCTGGGCCTGGGTTTGCGGAGTTCGGCATTACTGCAGGTTGCTCGCTCGCTACTACCATGGTTAGGATATGGATTACCGGTCCGCTTGGTAATGGTCATGTACCCCAATATGTCACGATCGATGTCTATATCGATGCTTACGGAGTCTGCGCTTCAGGCTCCGAGTCACAAGTGATTTACGATCTCACCGAGGGTGCTAGAATGCTGGACGCTGCTATTGCACATGACCTTGGAGCTAACATCTCCGAGGACAAAGCTTGCTTGATTGCATCCTCCAGGAGAGTGGCCACCAAGCTGATGACGTCCATTGATTCGTTGGCTGGACGCCAACTCGCCACTTCTGCAGCCAACCTCGGTATCGATTCTACTGCAGGGAGGCCTAGGAGGGCCTAGCAGTGTGCTTTGGTAGGCTTGTGTCCGTCACCTTAAAAGCAAGACCAGAAGGCTGCATAAGTTGCGACGCACTCTAGGCAAGCACTGCAGGAAACTATGTGTGGCTGGGCCTCTCCCAGGTTACCACTACGGAGCGGAGGTCCACGGGAGTTCAGATCACGAATGGGGATTGGCTCGTAAAGCATTTGGGAGGTGCCTTCGATCCAAGTCTGGTTCTCGTTCTCTCACCTCTGCCCTCATTCTGGAGAGGGGCCCCACCTTTTATGGCCCCGTGGATTCCACCTTACGCTGCGCTGCGGAACTTTAGGCCGTGCAACTCAGAAGTTTCCCCTTTACCCTTTCCTGGACCGAAATGCGTGAGTCTTGGGCGTCTGTGTTCCCGGTTTCGGGGCCCGATTCTTGGAAAAAGAGTCGCAGGACCCATTTCGGCTACAAAGCTGAGTTTGTCAAAGATAAGTTGAAGTATGCCCTCTTTCGACCCAGACGTGGACCAGCACGTGAACGAGCTGCCGCTCACGTTGATATCGCCTGCGCTGCTGAAGCGGCCCCTGGGGCTAGCGATTCAGCATGTCCATGGGTGCCGGTCGGCGGTGCTGCTTCTTCCACACCTCACACAACCTGCTCGTGTATGTCATGACCAAGTTATGATTATGTTGCGTAAGAAGTACACACAATACATGAAAGGGTGCATGCGTGCTGTATGCTGTAATGCCATTTGGACACGGCAGCGAGCGAGGCAAGCGGGTTACGACTTGCCCGACACACTTTGTCCATTATGCCAGGAGGCTGGTGACACTGTGCTACATCGGTTGTGGTTCTGCCCAGCCGTCGAGACTGAGCGGGCGGAAGCTCTTGGCAAGCATTCGACTGTAAAACCGCAGTCGGACCTCACGCCTACATCGGACCCGTCTGAGTTCCTGTTGTTCACAAGAGGTCTGTACAAGCACCCCGCTGATTACCACCCGAGGCCTGACACTACTGTTAATGGTGTTCCCAGTGAATTGCAGATCGTTTGGACCCAGAATCCCCAGTCAGATGATACGACCTTGGATGGGCACATCTTCGTGGACGGTTCGTGTACTAGAGAGGCTTCCCCAGAGCTCTCCAGGGCAGGCTGGGCTGCTATTCTCATGGACCCCTCTGGCACCCACCTGGCCACCATTTCTGGGCCCCTCATGGGTTATTTCCCTCAGACCCCACAGGCGGCTGAGTCCGCGGCCTGCACGATTGCGGCCCAGTGTAGAGCCTCTGGTTCCCCTTATTCCCCAATCAGAGCTTGCCTCTGTAGGGGTCCTAGCGGATATAAAGCTGAGGTGAGGTGGGCGGCCGACTTCGGTGGCCGGGGCCGGGTGCCCGGGTGCCCGGGGGTTCCTGGGGGTGCCCGGGTGCCCAGGTGTGTAGCCGATTTCGGTGGCCGGGGCCAGGTGCCCGGGTGCCCGGGGGTGCCCGGGGGTGCCCGGGTGCCCAGTGGTGCCCGGGTGCCCGGGGTGCCCAGAAGTGCCCGGGGGTGCCTAGCCCAATAGCCCTATATCCCTATAGCCCAATAGCCCAATCGCCATATATCCCTATAGCACTATAGCCCTATAGCCCTATAGCCGTACCTATACGACCACCCTTCGGGTGATAAGGAGGTTCGGGGGGGGGGGAACAACGTCTCACTCGATCGGTCTCACTATCGATCTCAGTATCGTTCTCACTATCGGTCTCGCTCGATCGATCTCACTCGATAGATCTCACAATCGATCTCACTCGATCTATCTCATTCGATCGATCTCACAATTGATCTCACAATCGATCTCACAATCGATCACACAATCGATCTCACATTCGGTCTCAATATCGATCTCACTATCGATATCACAATCGCTCTCACAATCAACATCATCATCATCATCATCATCATCATCATCATCATCATCATCATCATCATCATCATCATCATCATCATCATCATCATCATCATCAACATCATCAACATCATCATCATCACCAACATCGTCATCATCATGAGGGCACCGTCATCATCATCATCATCATCATCATCATCATCATCATCATCATCATCATCATCATAAACATCATCATCAACGTCAGCATCATCATCGGGACAACATCATCATCATCATCATCATCATCATCTCATCATCAACATCATCATCATCATCATCGGGACACAGTCATCGTCATCATCATCAGCAGCATCATCAGAATCATCATCATAATCGGGACACCATCATGATCACCATCGTTCTCATCATCAACATTATCATCAACATCGTCATCATCCTCGGGACACCATCATCATCATGATCATCTCATCATCATCATCGACATCATCATCAACAACATCATCATCACTGGGGCACCATCATCATCATGATCAACATCATCATCAACATCGTCTTTATCATTATTATGATCATCGGGACACCATCAGCATCACCATCATCATCATCACCATCATCATCAGCAGCATCATCATCGGGACACCATAATCATCATCAACATCATCATCAACACCATTATCGCCGGGACACCATTTCCATCAACATCATCATCATCATCGCATCATCATCATCATCATCAGGACACCATCATCGTCATCATCATCAACATAATCATCATGAGCATCATCATCCTCATCATCGGGACACTATCATCATCATCGACACCATCATCAACATCATCATCATCATCATCATCATCATCGGGACACCATCATCATCATCATCTCATCATCATCATCATCATCATCATCATCATCATCATCATCATCATCATGTCATCATCATCATCATCATCATCTCATCATCATCATCCTCGCGGGACACCGCGGGACACCGGCGGGACACCGCGAGACACCGCGGGACACCACGGGACACTGCGGGACACCGCGGGACACCGGCGGGACACCGCGGGGCCCCGCGCCCCGGATGAGAAACATTTGGTCCGGCCGCGCCTCAGCCACAGGAGGACACCGCGGGACACCGGCGGGACACCGCGGGGCCCCGCGCCCCGGAAGAGAAACATTTGGTCCGGCCGCGCCTCAGCCACAGGAGACTTTTTCTCACCTGCCCACGCAGCTTCGCCTCGCACGCACGGCACGCACGAACACGAAACCGAAACCGATTTCCCTGTGGGGGGCTCGCCGTTCCACTTCGATCTCACCCCCTCACCTCCGATAGCCCTATAGCCCAATAGCCCAATAGCCCAATAGCCCCATAGCCCCATAGCCCCATAGCCCTATAGCCCTATAGCCCTATAGCCCTATAGCCCTATAGCCCTATAGCCCTATAGCCCTATAGCCCGAATAGCCTTATAGCCCTTAGCCCTGTAGCCCTATAGCCCTGTAGCCCTATAGCCCCATAGCCCTAAAGGCTTCTAGCCCTATATCCCTATGGCCACATCGCCCTATAGCCCCATAGCCCTAAAGCCCCATAGCCCCCCCAAAATTCTGATTGGGTTTTTTCTCTGGTATCATTTTCTGATTGTTTAAACATGGTGCGCCAATATTTGGAGCCCTTGTCTTTCAGGACCTCCTATCGTCGCCCGTGTGCTGCATTCATGCTCCAGACGCTGGGTCAGGCTCCTGGGGATACGTTACATAGAAAGGGCACCAGAAAGACCGACCTGATCTCTCTCAAGAAGAGATCTTCTGGAAGAATGGTAATGATCGAGCAGATTTGGCAGCCCGCCTGACAGTTTACCGTCACCCTCAGCCCTCCATGTCTGAGGTGGAGCGGAGGCTGCGGGCTGAGCTCATCTCGCTGCTAGAGTGACAGCTTTCTGCGTCTGTCGTCGTGTTTTTTTTTTCCGAGTCTAGACCAATCAAGCCCAGTCCGATCCCCAAGCCTACCCCTGGGCCTGATCATGACTGGCACTGGGAAGGGAGATGTTGGTTGTGTGCTACCTGTTGGCGCTCCTCTCGTGCTTTTGCTAGGACTGGTTAGAATGTTTGTAGAGGGGCCCCAGATCTCAAAGGCCTCACGGGGGCTCCTCTTCAGGCCAACATGCATAAGCCCCTTGTTCTTGACTACTGTGATG